GCAAATGATATTTGTTAAGAGTAAAACAAATATTTTCAAATTCTCCACATAAGGTTTGAAAGCAGATAGTGTTAATTTATCTACATCTCATTTTAGGCATTATAAGACTTTCTCTTTGGGAGCAAAGGATAGCTCTTTAGTTTCTTTAGTTTAGAATAGTGAAAGCAATTAAAAACAAGAAAAAAGAATACGTGAACTAAAGGATGATCTGTGTATTTTAAAATATTTTACTATCAAAAATACAAGCTGATATTTTTTTTTAGTTGTGTTTCCTGTTGTTAGAATAAATCTCACCCAAAAAAGTTCCATACTCGCTGTTTCCCAAGGAGTTTGGTTTGAGATGTTTTCAGGCTTATTCAGGTTTTACCAAGAATCTTCATGTATGTACTGGGCCTTACTGTTCATTTTTCCAAAATACATTTTGTTTGTCTCCAGATTTGTCTGTTATACAGATCTCAATTTTGTATGTCTTCAGAGAAGAAAAGAAGGTATTTTTGTATTTTTTTTGTCCTGTATCATCGTCATTATTCGTGTCTGACAATTTTCATGCTCATGTCACAAGTCTAAATGTTTACATGTAAATGTTTACATGTAATGTAAGATTACATTTAAATGTATACAAATAATATAAGATCTGGTATGCCTGGTTTCTCTGAATTTCTCTGAATGTTCAGTTTCCAGCACATTTTCAGTAGAAAATGCAGATCTAGCAAGTCATGTGAAACTTAACACGGTCAGTATGTCTTACCCCGAGACACTAGTAATTCTAATGTGTGCTTAGATGTATGAACACGGTCTACAAGAAGAAATGTGCAATATGTGAAATTCAGAAGTAAATCAGAAGTAAATCCACTGAATTCAGTAGGTTCTAAAAAAAAAAAGAGAGTATCAGAGAGATTAGAGCCTAGATAGCTCATTTTAAGTGTACTCAGTACGCCAATTAAAACCTAAGTATTAAAAAGGATTGTTGAGTAACATTTCTATAGTCAACAAGTTCACTTTCTGAGTAGTATAAATCTGCAGTCACTGTAGTAAATTAATTTAAGCAAAAAAGTAAAGAATAAGGTCTCCTGAGTGGATTCAGCCAAGTTTTGACTTGCTCCTGCCACCTTCGAAAGAGTTACTAGAACTGTTCTTAACTCTCATTTATTTGAATCTTGAGCTATGATTTATTTGTATATATTAGTGTCTAGATTATATTTTACTTGCTGTTGAGCTCATGTAATAGTTCTGAATTCAGATTTAAAAAGTTACTTGGAGTTACTCCTACCAAAGTCATTCATGTTTTACCTGTGTAATCAATTTTAGCAGGTTTACAGAAACAACCATATGCACTAATGCTAAGCTAATACAGATAATGTATTTATATTTCTTAAGGGAGAGACAGTCAACTACAGCAGCGGTTAGCAGTTCAGATGTTCTGCATTTAAGTATTTCCATCTGCTGTGGTTGCAGGATATGCTGTATACATGTTCTGTCAGTCTGTTAAAGGGGGCATCAAATGGCCTTGAGAAATGTCGTGTTCTGATGTCTTTCTAATGCAAAGCACAGTTTGCATAGAATCCAAGGTAGTCAGTTACGATTCAGCTCTCCATGGACAGATGAAGCGCGTATTGCAGGCACTGTTTTATTTGTCATAGTCGTTAAAATGTTTAATTCCTCTCAGTTTTAATGTAGCAAAGTGAAAACCATCAGAGACAGGAGCTTCTAAGTTAGCACAGCAGTCTTACAGCAGGCACCTTCCAGAATACCAGGTCCCATTTGGGCTCTCCTTGGGCTTTCTTTGTTTAGAGGTAGGAAGATTATAAATCCTGATCTACGTATTTCTATTTGTACCTGGTATACTTTAAAATGTAATATTAAATCACTGCAGTATCAGCTACATCCTGTCTCTCTTGCTCTCCCTGCCCCCTTTCTCATTTGTATCATCAATAAAAGAAAACACATGTAATCCTTTGGCTTTGCTGCCACCGTAGCCATGGCCTGGCAGATGCGTTTTGAACAGAAGGTAGATTTATAGTACTAGCAGTTGCTAACTCCTCTGAAGTCAGACTTACGTGATATTCCCAATGACCTCCTGTTTTGTTGACGGTTAGCAGGTTTCTTCCTTTGCTTGATGTTTTAAATTTGTTCAGCTTTCTTCTAGTCTCATTGTTCGTCCCTGTTGTCCTTTTGTGGTGACATTAATTTTCTTTCAGACTTAGTGCTGTGGTTTTTATCTATTTTTTTTCTGTTCCCGTTTAGAGCAGTGATGGTTATGCCAAGCCAACATCATCTTTTCCATGATTACAAATGTTGCCTTCTCCAAGTATTGTGCAATGGAAATTTGATATGAAAGGAAGAAGGGGGAGAGAGAAAAGGAAAAGCATAGAATGTTTTGTTTAGAAGAAATTGGTATCTGAGAATGATGTCTTCTTCGAAACCAACAACGAAGTCTTTTTGTCTGGAGAGAAACTTAGGGCTAAGTTTTGCTCTGGACAGCACTACTGATTTTATTGAAAAGGACACAAATGTGAATGAAGGGCAGCTTAGCTTAGTGGAGAGAGGGGTGAGGGGGCTGGTGTGAATCAGAATTGTGTCTGATGAAGTCACTGGAATATACACATGTAAGGAATCTAAAATTAGATCAAAGGCAGCTTTGGATGTGTTTCATGCACTACATATGTGAGTTTGAATACAAATGCCAAGGGAATGGTTAGATACACCCTTCTTTTTTTCATAGAGAATACTACAAATAGGCAAACATAACCTTGGGGAAGATACTACAGCTCATGTTTGTGACTTCAGCTTCTCAGAGTTTATAATGACTCTTTCTCCAAAATGGAATCCTGAAATCCGTTTAACTCTGAAATGAATAAGATAATTAAAATCAAGTTAACACTTCAGATATCTGAAGAGCAAGATGATAAAAAGGGAAGAATTACACCTGGTACAGTTTGCAATAATGAATGTTTTCTTAGATGTTTAAGATGTACACATCATATACTTTGTACTTTCGATGGAACAAACTACACAGACAAAAGCTATTTTCAGAGAAGTCACAGAAAATGTGACCACAATGCAAAACTGATTAAAGGGGTGTTGCAGATACCTGCTTTTCATATGACTTATTCGTATAGTTCCTTAAAAATTACAGACCAGTTCCATGAAGTCTTTAGTCAGTCTAGTAAAATTCCCTGTGACATTAAGTTTCTGGTCTAGCTGATGATTTTTTTTTTTTTTTTTTTTTTAAGATCAACTCGTATCTTTTTTAGGTAATTTGTCATGTTTTACTCTATACTGGAGAATCACGGAAATTAAAAAATTAAAATAATGATGAAAAATCACAAAGATAATAAACGTGTAAGGAGAATCTTGCACAGAAAAGCTCATTAGTGGCTTCCCTTTAGGCCAGTTTGATTGTATGTAGCTGGACACCATGTACTCAGCCTGCATCACTAAAAAGATTTATCTTGCATCATACTGAAATGTACTTTATCTCATTGTTTACTCATATCTGAAATTGAAATTGCTGGAGAAATGCTTTTCCCTATGTACACAGCTTATGACCTGATTTTGGTGAGCTAGAGGATACCTGCCACTCTAAGTTGAGATGGTTCTGTCTGACACTGCCTTTTCTAGGAAGCCTTATGGGAGAGTAGTCCATTGCAACTAGAGCGAAGGACCCAGTCTTCACCCGCGCTGTGATCTCTGTACCTGCAAAGAGCTGCCCTAAAGGGAGAGCTTGGGACTTGGGAGAGCAACACCGATTGATAGTCCATTCTATTACTTGTACGGTTTATGCCGAGTACCTGGCAGGATTTAGCAATATATGGAGATCTCATTGTCTCTTACAAGCTCAGAATAGGAATTCAATAACCAGAGAAGTTTTTCGCTTTGCAGCTTGAACACCTAACCCGAGTTGTTCCTTCTCTCTTATCCTTGGATCTCACGTTGTTTCCCAAAAGACCATTAAGGCTGCTGCCTATTATTTGTTAATTCATGGACTTAGCATTTTTATTGCCTATTGATTTTTCAGTCTTTGTTTCCAAATTAATTTAGTAAATAATGTTTACTTTGTTGCCTAAAATACCCATCTTTAGAAGTTAAACAACACAGAATTGGGAACCACAGAAAAAAGTAGAGTGAGGGTAAAATAAGTATAATTGTTTAATTCAAAACAAAAGGTGTCTCTAGAGTATCAAAATTTTAGTGAAGCAATATGCAGTGCCATGATACTTTTACATTTAATTAATTTATTTGATTGTTGTTTTTGATACAGTTCTGTAACTTTAGTGGAAGAAAGGAGGAATTGCATCTTATATGAAAGTTTCTATATGAAGAACTTCAAAGAAGAAAATCTTTATATAAGTGTTTTTCCATACATATCTCCAATTATTTATTTGATGTCAGTGAGCTTGCAACTTCTATAACATTATGTGTTACAGTAGCTGCTAACAAATAATTCTAATAAAAATACAGATGGCTTGGTTGCCATCTGCACGTCTTTTGAGATTCTGCAATGAATATGTGATTAACCTGCTGTCACTACTATTTAAAATAAGTTTTTTCTCTAACACAAGCTTTCCTTGTACCTCCACTTCCTCCTCTTCCCTCTTCCCCTGCTTGGAAGTGTGCTAACAAGCCTGAGGTTTTTGTAGACGTCTTACTTGTCTGTATGCTTTAGGCATTTGTGGAGGATAAAGGAAAGTACACTGGAATTTTATGTTTCTGTACCTTTCACGTTACGAAAAACAGACTCCCAAAATGGCTGGGTTTGAAAGACTGGAACAGATAATTAATTCATAAGTGGGTGTTGAAGTGGAAACTGTCAGGCCACAGCTTTCCCAGCTTTCACTTAATCATTTGAAAGTCGTTTTCTGTTGTTTTCACTGACTGTAATCCCTTAGAGAGAATATAAAACTTGCACCATCCAGCATGGAATTCCGCTCCTTTAACGACTTGGGCTCTGTGTTGACTCACTTTCACTCACTTTTGCTCACTGTTGTCATTTTGTACAGGAAAAGCCGTACCAATGTTCCGAGTGTAACAAGGCTTTCAGTCAAAAGCGAGGCCTAGATGAACACATGAGAACGCACACCGGAGAGAAGCCGTTTCAGTGTGACGTGAGTTGATCTATTCCTTTGTCTTCTTGACTTCAGTGCGGCAACAGGACGGAATTGCAGTGAGACTGCAGCCTTGCACCTATTGGCTGTGACATAAAGTTACAGTTCGTACGGTCTCTGAGTGCCTGATTCATGACAGACCATGCAGGGAACTTTATGTACCCTCTTCAATTGCCAAGAGCATTGCACACCCTTTTATTTTGTGGGTTTGGATCCCTAAGAGTTATTTTCACCGTTATTAATGCAATTTGGATGTTGCAAGTTACAAATTCATACTGGTTGAGTTCCTGTGTAAATTATATGATGGTTTAATGGTTGGAGATTACCTTGTACAGGAAAAGGCATTTAATTCATTACATGGAATCTGAATGCTTCTGATGATATTGAATGACACAAATACGAGTTCAGAATTTCTAATTTCTGTTTAGAGGAATCTGCTCTGATATCTTCAGCATCTGCTCATAGTTGGGTTTTTTTGTTTGGGTTTGTTTTTTTTTTTTGTTTTGAATGAAGAAATCGTGGATGCTGTGTATGCTTGCAGTGCTGAAATGCAGCATATCATGTTACAGTTCATAGATCACTGTCAAGTACCTTTCATTCAGCATACCCTATCCTGTATAAAATGTATCTCGCAGCTTTTGGAACGTAGGTGGGGAGGCTGAATGTGCAGGAACTGTTGGCAAAGAATGTATTTCAGAATTACTTAATACCAGAATTTTAAGGTGTTGCTCAGGCATTTAGAGAAGGACATCAGAATCGGGTGTAGAATTAGAATTAGTATAGGTGCTTTGTTTTGTGATGCTAGCTCTTAATGGACTAGTCATAAGAGAACCACCAGCTTTCGGTCATATCCTAGGTGACTCAGCCTGAACAGTTGTAAATTTGCTCACAAATTTCTAAAATTAGATGCAAAATTAGAATAACCAGTTGGCACGAAAGTTGCAAGGGTCTGTTAATTGATCTGTTTTTTAATAAATAATCTGATGGCATTTCACTGAGAATAAAATATGTTAATTTAATAAAAATTTCAGCTACAATGTTTTGCTGTTATCTACAAATCAGGAAATTTGCTGTGTTCTTTTGGGATAATCTCAGCCTGGCTTTAGGTAGTACCTTGAGGATTTCTGTAGTTCCAAATCATTGTTAATAACTTTTTCAGCTTTGAGATCGCTATACTGTTTATCAGCTGTTGGCTAGCTTGTGTAAATACAATTTTTCCCACACTGTGGATCCAAGATTCACTGTTCTTGGATTCACAGTGTGCTTTTTCAGACCAATTTGGGGTAGTGGCTATATGTTATTCTTTTTTCTTTCTTCAGTTGAAAGTAGAGCTGTACAAAAGCACACTTTCTGCTTCAACTATTCCTTCAGTTTTCCTGATTACTTAGGTAGAACTATGTTTTCCAAATCGTAGTATTTCTAGAAACAGTTGTAATCTGTGTCTAGTCCTAGTCCTTCTCTGAGAATTTTTATGTACCTTTGGTTACTGGAGATTTTTTTTTATTCTTTAAATTACTTCCATGTTTCACCAAAATTATCCTTCAGCACAGGTCTTTTGGTAGCAGCACATTGCAGAGATTGCTGACTTTTTGGGGTTTGGACATAACCAGCAGTTGGCTCTACTGTTCATTCATACGCTCATCAATTGCCCAGGTGCCTACCATGGTCTGCCGCTTAATGCACACTTGGAGAGTATTGAAAGTTTTGTTTTCGATAGTTACTCCTTACTTCATCTAGACTCCAGTTCTGCAGATGCTGGGAACGTAGTAAATGTCATTGAGAGCAGAACATTCCTCCAGAGCTGTCTCTCACATTGTATGTTTCCAGATGTTTCAGCAGAAGTTAAAGGAAAACCAGTAGTGGACAGTTACGGAAATATGTTCCTATGGGAGACGTTTATTGTTAGCTCCCCAATACCAGATTGCTTTTTACACTCAGATATTCTCACCTACCGTTTTTGATCCTGCTAAAGATAGCTGTAGATGTTCTCATTATTTTTCTTATAATGACTTGAGTGGTAATTTACAGCAGCAACTTCTACAAATTCTTAGCTGTGGAAAGAGATTTTGGGGAGAGGAGAGTGTCAGGTTGCTGCAATGGAATTTCCATAACTTTGATTAGCAGAAACGGTTAATAGCTATCACATTCATTGCTTTCTGTACATGTCTCATTTTTCTCCTTAGTCAACTTGTCTGAAGTTGTTTCTCTTTCCAATATTTTGCATGACAACTTCCCACATTTATAATTGTTTTTGTTACTATATTCTGGATTTTTTTTCCCATTTCCATTGCATGTTTTAAGGAGTGAAGGCATACTATTGGCATGCTCTTACTCATTAAAGTAATTGGAAAAGTCTCTAAGTCCAATGCCCAGACCTGCTAAGAATCCTTTAAAGGTGAAAACCAGGCCATTTTTACAATGATTAGCAGATTCATAAATGTAATCATACATGAAGCCACAATGGAAGAAAAATGTCTTAGGAGGATTAAGAATTTTGGTCTTGTTTCCTACCTGGCGTTAGAAGCAGTCGTAGAAACTATTCAGCTTTTTCTTCTAAGTAATGTACTAGCGTATGCTGTCAGAATTTTTTTTGTTTCTTAGTACCTTTAGCATTTACAAACAGGAGTTGCCTTCAGTGCCAAAGCACTGAAGAAAGAAAACTTTTGACTATTGAAAAAAGAAAGTGTATTTCATGAGCTCAGGAATCGGCTTCACTTGACAATGCACCTTTCCCCACCCAGTATAAACAATTACATACCAATTTTTTTAGACTGCGTTTTTGCTTTAAATAGAATTTCCTTCCAGAATCAGAAATAAAAGCCACGTCTTCTGTTCCTCTTTCACTCTCTCTCAGGCATATGGAACAGACGTTACACTTTGGAATTGTGCCACGTGTAAAAGTAATCCTTGTATTCTGTTTGATGAAGGTGCTGCAGTTTATTTATGTGGCTATTTCTGTGTCTTATTAGTCAACAAAAGCATTTTCAGAACTTACTATTAATGACTCAGAGATCTCACATACCACTGATAGTAGTGCAAATTGAATATTCCCATTTTAAGGTGAAAATTCTAGTATATATCACATAGGAAAGTGAAAATAACTGAAATATGGAAAAACAAAACATGGTTTCTCTTTAGTGTATTTCTGTCCTCTGAAGACCAGCCTGTTTTTTCTGGAAGGCCAACTGAACTTCAGTTGTCTCAGAGACAACAGATTGTTCTTTGGGGGTGGAAAGGTCAGGAACTGCCTTGTTCTGGTTTCTTTCCAGTACAGTATTTCCCTCCACTCTGCCTTTAGTTGACCCTACACTTACTTTCAAATGTCAGTCTTTCCTGTCCTCCCTGCTTGATCAAAACTTTGATCATTTTGAAGAGATTGATTAGAGTTCAAGTGCGCATTAGCATGGTTGTAAATCTATAAAACGTCAGTCTTGCTTATAAAACTGAAGTACGAAGCAAACTCTTAAAAAACGCCAAAAGCTTTTATGCGTAAGCACAGCACAGGATGAATCATGTCTTTAAGTAATGATCCCATGCATTGCATGTTCTTTTTGAAGAAGTTAGATAGTGGAACATGCTAGAGCCTTGAGGAACAGCAGGACACATTATACTAGGTGTAACATGAGCATTATGAATGAAAAAAATGTACTTTAAGACTGTGTTATAAGCTATAAAAATGAAGAAGTGAGCGTAAAATACACAGAACCATACGTATCTTGTATGTGTGTATATCCTTGATTGTCTTCGTGGCTTCCAAGAAACATGTTGTGTTTACTGGTATATGATACTTCTAACATGTTGAGACTTGTGAGCAGGCGTGATGGTTATGATTAGATAAATGTTATGAGTTCACTTCGTGTGTTCTGTGGAAGAGGAATAGAAAATGGCGCTTTGCAAAAGCGATATCAAGACCTGAGCAGTGGATGCTGTAGTGACATTCACTGTTGTGTGACAAAGGATGACAGTTGCTTGGGTCTGAAAGAGGTAATTATACATTTAGGGAAAAAGTCGGAGAGTTGCAGTTGCTGTATAAGTATTACATCATGTCATAAATTAAAAGATGTTCCATTGCAACAGCACATACAGTGTTTTTATCTGGGGAAAAATTATTTTGGGTACAAGGTACAAAACTCTCTGGCAGTTACCCTTTTTATGGTCATTGTGTGGTTTTGCCTTAGTTGGCATAAAATACATATACTGCAGGTCAAAATTATTTGCTTGGATAGTCAGCTGTATTTGTCAGTCTTGGTTTCAAAAGGAGTCAGTGATCATTCAGCATTTTTATTACCAGTTTGATACCAATCTGAGTTTAAAACTTCATTTTCCTAAAGAGGGATTGTGCAGCATTCCCCAAGTTTCCTCTACATGGAAGACATTTTTGTCTGGAATGAACCTGGAATTCTAAAATTGCAAGCTTATGGATGTTCATTCTGATTTAACTATATGACTCTTCCATATTTCGTTTGTCAAATTAGGAGCGTGCTTTCTAAATTATTTTTTTTTCCTGGAAAATTCGTGCATACAATATATACCTGGATGGAAGGTGAAAGTGACCATATAACTGCACAATTTCAATTGTTTTGATGTCTTGCCCATGCATTCCTAACTCTTCATTCTAACTTCTCTTGGCTGAACTTGTTCTTAACCTTTCATTTTGACTTCAGTACAGGAATTTTTATAGGAAGAGATGATTTTAGCATGGCAAGAGTCCCTCA